GAATAATTATTTCATGAAATCTCAGAGAAAATCGCCCTGATTCGTCCAAGTCAGTCAGTTTTTATTAAGCTTGATAACCTGGGGGCTGGGGCACAGCTCGGTGCTGGATGCTTCACCCCAGCCCTACGAGTAAGTAATTTTAAGAAAAAACAAAACCAAGCCAGTGGGAGGCCAGACAGCAAACACTGCCACCGGGAGCATCTCGTCTCCATAGCAACCACAGTGAGCGGCAAACCACTGGAGTAGACGGGCATGGCTGTGTGCTAATAAAGCTTTACTCTCCAGATGGCCGAGGGCTGTAGCAGGGACCACATCTGGAGAGATGGCCCAGCGGTTGGGAGCTCACGCTGCTCTTGCAGAGGCCCCAAGTTCAGTTCCCAGCACCTACACTAGCAGCACACAACCGTCTTTAATTCCAACCTCAGGAGATCAAACCCCCTCTTGTGCCTCTGCAGGCATCTGCTGAAATACACACACACACAAACAATTTTTTTTAACTATTAAAAATAAGTCTCAAAAATCGTGTTCTTTTTAAGTATCTTGTTAGAATAAATCTATAGGACAAGACAAGCACCCTGCCTCTGCTGTTGATATTTTGTCTGTGTCCCAGACCACGCCAGGCAGACAGAACTGGGCTGCAGCGTCTGGCCCCCCCAGGAGCTTGTCTGTTTGTGACCCTAACAAGAAGGCGCAAGCGCACTCATGGGACATGCTGAGGGAGCGGGACATGTGGCGTTCCCAGGCGGAAACGTACAAAGGCCAGACTTGGGGTCTGCAAGAGTGAGCAGGATCACCATTCCTCACGAGGTCTCTGTGGCCCTGAAGGAAGGCAACAGCCTGAGTGCCCTCAGAGAACGGGGGTGTGGCCTAGGGGTATGGCAGAATGCGGTCAGCAAGGAAAGGGCGGAAGCTGCCACCGGTGATGAAGGTCCCTTGGTTGCAATTCTGAGTAAAATGGAGCAGGCACAGACACATACTGCAGGAGGCTGGATATGGCAGCACACACAGGATTCCAGTGCTCAAGAGGCTGAAGGATCATGAGTTCAAGGCCAGCCTGGGCAACAGGGAAAGATGCCATATTCAAGAAAGAAAGAAAGAAAGAAAGGAAGGAAGGAAGGAAGGAAGGAAGGAAGGAAGGAAGGAAGGAAGGAAGGAAGGAAGGAAGGAGGAAAGAAGGAAAGAAGGAAAGAAAGAAAAGAAGGCTAGATCTCACTTTACAGGGATCTAACAAGTCAAACTCAGATAGAGAGCAAGCAGGGCCAGGCTAAGCAGCCACCTTCTGACTGGACCTGAGGCCAAGTTCATACAAGGACACTCATACCTGCTCAAAAGCACAGGGCTGGAGGTGTCACAGGCCCCAGAAGTGGGAACCTATTCTAGCTGTCTTCTAAACAAACACGGCATCTGATGCCTTCTGAGTGTCTGTGTTTGTACACACAGAGAGCTGCTCTCAGTCCAGAGAAGCTTCCGTCTGCAGCAGGCAGCTGCCAACTCGGGTTCACAACTGGTCAAAGCACTGAGAGTAAACGGTTGACTGAACACCTCTAAACGTGCCTCTGTATCGATGGACAACGGCCCTGCCCGTGCGCTCACCACAGCCGTGGTTACCAGCCGACTATCACCAAGCCAGTCAGCTTCCGGCAACAGTGTGGCTGCTGGGAGCTCGCCATGCTCGGGTAGTCCACCCCACACCCCAGCATGTGGCGCTGACCAGGCTCAGCGGACTACAGAAAACAGGAAGAGGGTGTGAGGTGAGAGGGTGTGGGGGGGATCCAGAGTGGGAGGGGGGTTGGGGTGGACACAAGCAAGACGGTGACAAACATGCCAACTGCCACACCAAAACAAACAAACACCACAAACCAAAACAAACAAACAGACAAAAACCCCACAGCTTCAAAAGGAAAAATAAATGTAATCCCTCCTCCATTAAGTTGCTTCTGTCAGGAACTGTGTCGCCAACATGAGCAGAAGACGTGTGACTCGCAGGCCTGGGTCCACTAACCAAGTCCATGCAGCACGGACACCTGCTCCCCAAGGCCTCCTCCATCCACGTCTGTGTCTGGCCATCTGCGCTGTCACCTGGTCCAGACCCCTGCCCCCATTGACTCTAGACAGAGCAGAGACCTCGCTGACCCACAGGGCAGCCTGGGACTGCTAATCTGCAATTTCTGCTGCTGTTCTTGTATTTTTCAGCATGTCTTTCTAACGATGTCACTGTTGTGTTTTAGGGAAACCACTTCAAATATGCATAGAACCACCCTTTCCCTAATCCACAGGCTCTGTGGGCCAGAAATCTGGTCTTGCCTTTGTCACAGCCGGGAAGACAGAGAACAGGTGAGGGTGTGGGAAGGAGCCCCACTCACCTGTGTGTGTCTGGGACAACTAGAAAGTCCTTGGTTGACTGTTTGCTGAGCACCTCCCCTCTCCTCTCCACACGACTGGACAGTCCCAGCATGGTGGCTGGGAACCAAGAGCCAACGTCCCAGCGTGAGTCTGGGTGAGATGGCTGTCAGGTGGAACCATCGAGGGCAGAGTGAGGGAGACTACAGCAGGCCTGTGACATAGTCACAGACACACAGACACAGGGGTGACATAGTCGTGTCACAGGGGGCCCTGTGTGGGAAACGTCTGTGTTGGCATATTAGCAGAACGTAAGCTTCTACAGCACCCATCTGTGACAAGCAGAGAAGTCCCTCGGCCCAGGGGCGGCAGGTCACAGAGACAGAGACCCGAGTGCCCATGAGGAACTGCACTCACAGAATTGCTTATGCCAGCTGCGGGCCCCGTGTTCTCTGGACATGCCGTTGGCCACGCATGCCCAGGGCATCCTCTCAGAGGATCACAAAGTCAGAGTGAAGGTGTGCTTGGGCATGCTCTAGTCTAGAGGCTCAGCTCAGGGAGCCCTGTTTTTAATCTTCTCAGTGTTGGCAGAGCTCATGTCTGTGGAGACTCAGGGCCCCGCACACTTGCTGGACCAGCTAAAGCCCCCTCAGCCCAACTCTAACTGAGCCTTCACTTGGGGTTCAGGCCCAGACAGCCCCAAAAGGTTTGGCTACCCCTCCTTGTGTGCCGCTCAAAGAGATAATTAATAGTGAAAAGCAAAGAGAGGTGATAAGGGTCTAGAGACCTCCATGTCCATCCTCAGGGTCCTAACAGAGACCTGGTCTGAACAGATGGCAGCGGTGTGCAGAGCTAAGCAGGGGTGAGCAGGGGCGGTCCTGTCTGCCCTCACTGTCTGGGCTCCGTCTCTCCGGGAGGTGGCAGAGCTGTGAGCAACCTCCTGCTGGAGGCAAGTTCAAGTCCATCGTCTGGCTGGAGGCAGGGCTCAGCCTTCTCCTTCCCCAGCATGCCATCCCCGAGAAAGTGTCATGCCTGGGCCCACTGTCTCCAGAGCATGGCAGCACAAACGTCTCTCTGGAAGTATCTTCCACAAGTTACCCACCATCCTGGCCCTGTGGTCCACTCCATCTCCAAAGCCAGTCAGGGATGCAGGCCTGCACGACCGGCCCTTTGCCTCCTCACACCCAGAACTCCAGACCAGACCTGAAGGGCTTGTGTAGTGGGGCCTTCCCTCCATTTGAAGGTCATCTAGTTTGGGGTCTTCATTATGTCTACAATAACTCTACACACTGCCATTAAGTTACTGGGCGAACGAGTAAGTGGACAGGGCGGGGGGAACTCCCGCCTCTGCCTCCTTGCAGAAGAACAATTCCAAGGTCATCCATCCTCTAGAGAAGCTCATCTTCTGCTTCTAGTCCATCTGCTCCCGTGCTGAGCGAGACGTGCACACACTGAGCTGGAGGTTCACACATGCCGAGCTGGGGGCACACTCGGAGCTGGAGGTGCCCACGCAGCTGGGGGCACACTTGCTTCGAACTCCGATGTCACTGGTTAGGAGCTTTTACTTTGTGTTCATCCTGACAGAGGAGCAGCAGACCGTAAACAGAGCTTTGTCATTTGTGCAATTTACCAGTCTAGTGGGCCCGCGACGGCCATTTTAAATTAGAACTTCACAGTCAAGCTGCATTCCAGTTATTTGTTCAGCGAGTCAGCTGCAGAAAGAAATGGCTTTTTAATGCTTAGTTACAGGATGGTATGTCGTCACCCTGAAAGAAGATTTGTGGCACTGCTCCTTCAAACAGCTGCTTTCTGGTCTTGCTTCCTAATTCACTTGGAGAGGATTCTAAGAAGTGTGTGTGCATGCGTGTGTGCGTGTGCGTGTGCGTGTGTGTGTGACACATACACAGGTGTCAGGGCTGAGGTTTCCACAGTTTTAAGACACCTGTCCATCTTGCAAAGATCCAAAGAATTCTGAGAGAGAAGGACACGCCTTCCCTGAGGAAGGTCACAGTGAACACAGCACACAGGCGGCCCCTGGTCGGTCTGTAGGCCTGCTGCTCCGCCCTCTGAGAAGCCTCGGAGCCGAGCCATGGTGTCAGTCTATGTCAGACACACTTTCCTCACAGAAATCTCCCAGACCTGAGACGGCCATGGACAGGGTGACAGTTTTCGCAGAGGACTGGTGGGGTTGAAATCAGTGTCTTCCGGTAGGAAGCGCACTGAGGGGCCAGGAATTCTATCACGTTAGCAGCTCACACTGCAGGCGTGTTGCAGGGCCAGAGCTCACAGGGAGACCCCGCCATGCGCTCATGCGCTTACCTCCACGCCGACTGAAGGCAAAGTCAGGGCCACTCGTTCCTACATCTATTCCACAGTGTGACGGGTCTCCGGAGCCTCCTCCCCCTCAGCTCCCCGCCGGGCCTGCGGGCACACGCGCCAGGCACGGCAGGCCTGAGCGGGGAGGGCACACCGCCGATCCCTGTGGGCTTCATCTGCAAGACCCGCAAATTTCATTTCTCCAAAAAGTGTTTTTATAACTCTTGCCATAAAACAAAGAGCCGTTAACATTTTGAACAAACTGAAATGATATTTCTTCCTAGACACTGATTTTCAAATTACCTCGCTGTGCTTCTAGAAAAAGTTCGTTCTGCTGCAGAAGGGCTTGGATTAGAATGCGCCTCCTCTGGCGAGGCCCGAGCCTGGGAGCTCCCCGGGCAAATAGCTATGGGCGCGCTGCTCCTGGACGGATGGCTTGCTGCAACCCACTGTAAATTTAAAAAGCAAGCGAAAGGACAGGCCCCGGGGCAGCCATCCCATTCCTTCTGACAGTCAAGAGCTAATCTGGAAAGCAGTTTACCTTTCTGTGATGAACTCAATTGTCAGTGAGGTTTACCCGGGCAACAGTGCTAAAAAAAATAAAACTCCCCTCAGGCGTGTCTAGTCCGCTGTTTGTCGCTGTAACAGAATACACATGACGGGGCGACCGATAAAGAAAGACGCTTATTCAGGTTTACAGTCTGGGAGACTGGGAAGTCCAGAGTCAGTGGCTATAGCTAGTGGGGGCCTAGAATGTGGGCTGAGGGTCGGGGTGAGGGGTGTTAAGCACAATGGCGCACACTTGCAATCTCTGGACTCTGGAGACTGAGGCAGGAGGAATGCACAAACCTAAGGCCAGTCTGAGCCACACACTGAGATCCTCTCTCAAGCACAATGAATGAATGAATGAATGAATGAATGAATGAATGAATGAACAAATGAATGAATGAATGGATCAATCAGCAAATTGATGAATGAGAAGTGAGGTAAATAGATTACTTCATTTAATGGAATGATTCAGCTATTTTTATGTATTGGTATTAAGACTGTGCCTTGCTCCTTTAGAGTATTATATACAATCCTATATTATGGCTATTCTATATGTTAATTTTATATTTATATATATTCTTGTGAACCAGTTGCCTCAGGAGAGCCTGTGTACACATTCTTGGATAAAGTGAAGGCTGGAGGAGATGTGGCCCTTTTCTAATTTTAATTTTTATTTTAAATATATGGGTGTTCTGCCTGCATGTATGTCTGTGGCCCATGTGTGTGCAGGGCCCACAGAGGCCCCTGGAGCTGGACTTACAGATGGTTGTGAGCTGCCATGTGGATGCTGGAAATTGAACCTAGCTCTTCTGGAAGACAGCGAATGCTCTTAACCACTGAGCATCTCGCCAGTCCAAAAATGCTTGTACTGGGCAGTGTTATGTCAACTTGTCACAGCTAGGAGGGGGACCCCCAGCTGAGAAAATGCTCCTTAAGACGGGTCTACAGGAGAGCCTGAGGGGCATTTTCTTAATCAGTGACTGGAGGGGGAGGGCCCAGCCCACTGTGGGTGCTGCCATCCCTGGGCTGTGGTCCTGGGTTCTATAAGAAAGCAGGCAGAGCAAGCCGTGGGGCGCCAGCCAGTGAGAAGCCCCCTCTGTGGCCTCTGCATCAGCTCCTGCCTCCAGGTCCCCGCCCTGCGTGAGCTCCTGCCCTGACTTCCTCACGTGATGAACAGTGATGTGGAAGAGTAAGCCACATGAACCCCTCATCCACAAACTGCTTTTGGTCATGTGTTCCTCAGAGCAATAGTGACCTAAGTTAGGACGCTCAGCTTTCTCCATCTTCTCTTGGAATTCACTAACAGACTAGGCTGCTCTGGAGTCACAAAGGTCTGCCTGCTGCTGCCTCCAGAACGCTGGGGCTGATGAAGCCTGCAACGTAGCTTTTACCCTTATTAGACACAGAATAAACGCTGAAGAGACTCAGCAGTAGGAGCAGTTGGGTGAATGCTAAATAAAATAAAATCCAATTTTCACATATTGGTTCAGCAAAGACATCACTGAGAGTACAAATAAGCACATGTGTACAAAGCTCAAGGTATTTTGATAAACATAAAAATCAATGTTCAAGAGAACAGGGAATGATAATCTAAATTCCCAAAAATGTGAAGCTAGAACACTTCAGAACACATGCTGAATCTCCCTGCAGGTGTGTGCGTGTGTGGGTAACTGGCACGATCATAGCTGTCCAGGATGGTCACACACCAAAATTCCAACTCCTGGCTGGGGGACAGACTCAGAGAGCCTCAGCTTGACTGTCAGAACTCAAGACAGCGATGACACACACCAATATTGACTTGTTCAGAAAAACAAATGCTTCTAAAAATTATTCCATTGATTCCTGTTCTTAAAATGCTCAGGGAGAAAACTACAATGAGCTCACGTCTAAGCCTGGATGTACTCATTTTCAGAACAAGACAGTTCTGCAGAGGTGCCTTATGCCCTGCTTCTTTAGGGTATCGGGTGCCTCTGAACACAAGAAATGGGGTCCAGAACCCCTGCCACAGGCGGAGTTCAGTCACCCAAAACCCAGACAGAGGAGCAGGAGCTTGTCCAGCAGGGCTGCTCGTGTGAGCTCAGCCCAAGGGGAGGAGGCTCTGCTCACGGAAGCAAGGCCACGTGTGGCTCAGTCAGCGGGCACTGGCCTGCCTCAACCCCAGCACCGGAGAAGGAAACAGTAAGTGAAATGGCCGAAGCTCCATGCCCCGAGAAGGCACAGCAACTGCATGAGCAGAGACTGGAGAAGGAAAGGGTTAATCTCAGCTCCCAGGTAAGAGTCTGTCAGGGAAGGGCGGCTGGGCAGGGGCTCGAGCAGGAGGCCAGCAGAGACACAGCCGAATGTTGCATCTTGGCCTAAGACCTCCGCTCAGCCAGCAATCCAGAAATGCCCACAGAAATGCCCACAAGCTGATATGGTGGAGGCACTTGCCCCTCCCAGGTGACCCTCGGAATGCCAAGGCATGTCAGGGCTGACGCTGGCCTTAAAAGTTCTCAATCTGAGGTGTCTAGGAACACCGACTTTCCACGCAGCTCCAGAGCCCAGGTCTTGGAAGAAACTTCAGAATTACGCTTCTTCAGGAAGACAGGGCGGAGTGCTCTGAAGAGTCTAAACACTGTGAGAACGAAGCTTCAAGATGGACAGAGGGCAGGGTGTGGGCTTGATGTACCCCGAGTGGCCGGGGCAGCGTCCCCAGCAGCGAGTCCCCGCTGCGGCCTTAGTGGTCAGCACTCTCAGCAGGCAAAAGCTCTGCCGCCCGGAGAGCCACGGCAGCAGATAGCAGCACATCTGGGCCAGAGCCTTCACTGCAGGCAGGGCGCCCGCTGACACTTTAAAACCTCACAGAAGCTGGGCATACTGGCACACGCCTGCAATCTTGACACTGAGGAAGTTGAGGCAGGAGGATTGCCACCAGTTTGAGGCCAGCCTTCGGGACACAGTGAGTTAGGGACAAGCCTCCCCTACAGAGCACAACCTAGTTTTAAAAGAGAAAAAACCGAAACCCGCCACACACACACTCAATGCTGTTACACACTTACAGGTTTTCCCTTTTCAAGGGTTTTTCATTTGGGTTGTGTGTGCGCACTTGTGTCGGAGCCTGTGTGCTCATACTGTGCCTGAGGCTCCCAGGGAGTCTCCTGTCTCAGCGCGCTAGCCCTCAGAGCTCGCCCTGCGTATCTGACATTCTGTGGCTTCCGAGATCCTGACTCAGGCTTCTGTGCTCTCCCCCAGTCCAAGCTTCGTCATGGTGAAACACCACCCCATGTAAGGAAGGGGTTAAAGCCCATGAGCGGGGGCCACGCCGGCATTAATGATGCCAGACAGAGCCAGAGACTTAAACAGTGACCCTGCCCACCCCCCACCCCACCCCCGTACCTGGTGAAAGCAGGGTTGTGTTCTGTCATGGCGACGAGCAGCTTCAGCGCGTAGGCGGGGACTGGGTCAGGCTCCATGAGGATGCGCCCGTACCTGAGAAAGAAAACCATGGGAACAGCTCAGGCCCCTCTCTCGTGTGCCCGCACAGTCAGGAAATGTCACACGGTAACACACACTCAGTCTGGGCATGCAGGCCACCAGGCTGGTCTCTGGGCACTCAGTCCACCAGGCTAGGCCACCCCTCTCCAGGGTTCCGGGCAGGGTGGTACCCACGGCTGTGTCCACAGCTAATCCATGGCTAAGACATGGCATGGGGACAGTGAAGACATGAGGTCGGGCACAGGGGGACAATGCCAGGTGATGAAAGAGTCCCACATTCCAGTTCCCTCATGCAGGCAAGCACGGACACACGAGAGCACGCCTGCTCACTGTCACGGCACACTGCACACTCTCACACTGCCCCTCCCACTCTTCCCTCATGTGTGTACATGTGTCTGTCTCTGTGTGTACATGTGTCTGTGTGTGTCTGTGTGTGCACATGTGTCTGTCTGTGTGTGTATGTGTGTCTGTATATGTATGTGTGTGTACATGTGTCTGTGTATGTGTGTGTGTGTGTGTGTGTGTGTGTGTGTGTGTGTGTGTTTTACTGGGAAGAGAAGCCAGGGCCTTGCCCCTTCTGGGCAGGTGCTCCCACACGGAGCTACACCCCGGTCCAGAATCCTGAGCCTGAAGGAAACAAAGAGCGTTCCAGGTGTCTACTGAGCCACAGGAATGGAAACCAGGAAGTCCGAGGCATTGCCGTTGCCGGGCGGCATTCCTGAAGCTGACTGTGCCTACAGCGAGATGCCGCTGGTGGGGCTCCGTCAAAATCGCAGGTTCTCAAAGGAAATGCCTGTAAGCTATGACTCTAAATAACGAGCATGAAGGATTTATGACGTCATGATGGCCCTGGCGACTCTGCGGGTAACTGCGAATTATTATTACTTTTTTTAATGAGGAGAAGGAAAGCTTGTGCTTATGTCCCCAGGAAAGAGACCCCAGGGCGCTCCATCACAGCGATGTGGCAAACACATTTCATCTGCGTGATCCTCCCAAACACTCAGCTAAAATATAAATGAAGCACAGAACTCAACACGTGTTGATAACTGTGACAGGTGGACAGAGGCAGCCCCAGCTGCAGACTTCCCCCACCCGCTCAGACCCTTTAACACCGCTGCCTCGGAGGCCAAAGCCAGGAGACCTTGTGTCTCTGCTGCCATTCTCTACACCTTTCCGGGGCCTCGTGTGCCATCTCCTCTATAGTCCTTTTAAATAATGGACACTGCAAAGCATGGAGCTCACTCCTCACTTGGAGGACGAGGCCTGAACCCCCCTCCATAGCTCCTTCACTTCAGCTGAAGACACACAGCGGGCACTGCCCTGCACTGTTCCTTGGCGCCGTCTCTGAGAGACGAAAACCCTGAAGGACATCCCCCTGCCGCTGAGCACTGTGAACATGCCCATCCCTGAGGACTGAACCTCAAAGGACAGCCAGACCCATCGCCAGGGAAACAAGTCTCAGGCACCTGTGCTCACATACGCACATGTCATTAGAAAAGAAAATCTTTTTGGATTCCTAGGAACACCTCCACCCACTCTCAGAAATGGTGTGACCGTGACCGCTACTCCGTATCTAACCCTCTTCTCCCTTAACAGGAAGGCTGACTTGCATGTCCACCCAACCATCTGAAGAACAGGGAAACTGAACTGGGCAGAAACAAGCAAGGGCTTGCACACGTGAGTGGGTGGACCGTCAGACAGACACGTGACCCATGAGGCAGGGGTGATAGGCAGCCTGAGTCCCCTGAAAGGTGACAGTCATCACAGCGCTTCTGGGCATGGGATTTGACAAGCAGCTGCTGGCTTCCAGTGGGCATGTGACAAGGCCACGGCAGTGGCTCTATCGGAGCTGTGGCCCTGTGAGGGTGGGGTGAGTCGGCACCCTCTAAGGTTTGAGTGTGGAGCAGCCTGCTGTGGGGCCTTCACAGATCTTCTAAGGATCTCAGCCTGTCCCCACCCTAAACAATCAGATCATATCCTGACAGAGAGACAGAAGGGAATAAGACATGGGATGGGAAGGAGGGCTAGGGTGTGGAACCCAGAGGTCCAGTCAGGCACTGCCTCAGGGGCTAGCGGGAAGCCTGAGGAGCTCCGCCAGAGCTGGGCTTGAGCCTCTGTGCATGTCACGCCATGTCTGCTGGCCTCTGGTAACACGTTACAGAAGCCATGAGGCACAGATGAGGAGCCGAATCCCCCGGGGCCCTCAGGTGGGAGCCACCAGAACGTGTGTGCAGCCGAGCAGTGGGTCAGCAGGAGGGCTCAGTGGCCAGGCTGTTTCTGCCCAGCCTGACAACTCAAGAGCCATCCTGGAACTCACATGCTGGAAGGGGTGGGCCAAGTCCTCAGCGTGGCGCTCTGATCTCTGCACACGGGCGCCACACACACATAAATAAGTGGAAATTGTAACTCAAAAAAACTGTGGGAGGTGAGGGATGACAAAGAGACAATCGCCTGGGGCAGAATCAGCCCCTTCCCATCATTTTTTTGCTTGGCTAGCCAGGTGGGCTGAAGCCACCTGACACGGCAGGCTTTAAATTTGTTCTAAAGCCTTATCTAATTCTAGGTAAGGCTTTTCAAAGTCCCACCTCTGGCGGAGTCACACTGCCACAGACAGAGGGAGGCGGAGGGCAGGGCTGCCATCTTGGACCACCTGAGCACCGAGCGACTGCAGCCCACCCCAAGGGACGCCACACGTGGCAGGCACAGTAATGCAAAATACGCAGCCTGGCATTTAATCCTGTAAGCTGACCTCCTAGGGAGGGCGCTGTTTTAACCCTGAGCCAGCCCTGTGCCTGCCCTGTTTGCCTGCAATGTCAGCACGAGGCGTTGGGAGGACTGTTAGCTCAAGGCCTGCCTGGGCTAAACAGAGTTCCAGGAGAGCTTGGGTAACAGAGAGAGACTTGAAACAAACAGGAAGTACTGTTTGATGCGGCTGGGGGTTCTCGGCACCATGACTGTTTCCCTGCCCACTGGGGCTCCCGGGAATTTCCCTGCCCCGCCCTCCCTGTGAGCTACAGGGCAGGAGGAGGAGCAATGGCCCCCACCCGCCCTGCAAGTTCACGTTCTTACCACGCCCCTCCGGAGAGTCCAGGAAAAGGAAGACTGGCCTCTGGCACTCTTATTTCTGAGTGCTGCCAGGAGGAGTCTCCACCCGTGGTCTTGACTCTCAGCCCCCTCCCGCCCTGAGAGAAACATCTTTTGGTCTGCATCAGAGTGCTGTCCCCAGAACACGCCCACCAGAGGCTCGTAAAGAGGCTGAGCCCTCCAGGTCCTCCCGGGTGGAGCGGGCGCTGCTGTGTGCAGAGCTCTCCAGCATGAGACATGTACGGACACGGGCGGTGGAGACCCCGTCGAGGGGCTGGACGGCCGAGGAGCTTACTGGGGGAGCAGCTGGTCCCTGATGAGTACCAGGAGACTGCTGTCAGAGTCGCAGCGGGGCTCGCCGCCGTCCTCCGGCTCCTGGCTCACCAGCAGGGTTGTGGTCTCCGAGAGCAGCCGCAGGCTGAAGAGCCGCCACTCCACTGCAGGGAAGAAACAGTGCAGAGAAGGGACAGAATGTGTGCTCGGCACCTTGGCACACGCGTGCAGGGCAGGAGGGCAGGAGGGCCAGCGCCCCCCAGGTCCCCAGCAGCGCCCAGTTGTTCCCAGAGTGTGTAGCCAGTTCTCGGCCACAGCCGCACTCACCATTCTGGCTTTGCACCAAGGAGACCAGGGGTGGCAGGATGTAGTCAGTGACCTGGAGGACAGGACAGGAAGCTGAGCTCAGGGCTCAGGGCTGTGGGCACCAGCCCTGCGTGCCCACCAGCAGAGCGTCTAGCAAAGGAGGGAGACGAAAGGGCAGGGGGTGGGAGAGGTCCCTGGGCACCAGTGTGAGGGTGAATTCCCTCGCGGTGGAAGGCCTGGCGGCCAGGGCGTGAGGCAGCGGGTCATATGGCATCCAGGATCACAGAGGTTAGATGCCGGAGGTGAGCTAACTTTCCCCTTTGTGTCCAGCCCGGGGCACAGCCTAAGAAGGCCGCTGCCCACATGGGTCCTCCCACCTCAGCTAACCTCCTCAGCTCATCCCTCATGATGACCCTGTCTGCACGACTCTCCGCCTGTCACGCTGCAGATTAAGCATCATGCTCCCCTCAAACCCAGCGAGAAGCAAAGGCTGGAGCTTGGTCTGCTCCTGGGACCTGACGGTGGACTGCCATGGAGATGCCATCCAAGCAGCCCCTGTGAAGGGGCAGGCCAGACGCTAGACAGACATGCAAAGAGCAACCCCAGAGGTAAGCAGCCTCCACAGCCAACAGACACGCAGAACGCTCAACCAGTGACGTCAGACACACAGAACTTAAAAGAGGTAACACTGTACATCCAGATGGTTTAAAACCAGTCAGCGGTGCAGGTCTGTGTAGACCAAGGATTCAGATACTACAACAAGTTAATAGTAGCTCCAGAGAGTAAGCGAGAGCGCCCGTCACCCACCACCCTCTCCCCACAGACTCAATGAATGAAGAGAGAACGGGGAGTCTCACAGCTGTACCTGACACAGATGGCCTGACAATCCGCACTGTGCAGCCCTGCATACCTGGTCAAAGGCCTTTGGAATCTAATTCCACCACCATTTTGTTCTTAATGAATGTGTCCTTTCTTCACTACCTCAAGGCGATCACAGCAGTGTCCCACATGTCCCACAGTGACAAACTATCTCCAGAAGTGAGGAAGCCTCTGCAGAAGCACCCTGAGGGGGGGGAACTGAGTGCTGCCTCAGTGGAAAGGCTGCTCCTTTCGGCTCAGCAGCGCTGATTTCTTTATCAGGAAGCTACTCAAGGAGAAACCCACGAGGGCTGAGGAGACGCCTGGGCAGTCAAGAGCACACATGCACTGCTCTGCAGAGGACCGGAGTTCGGTTCCCAACATCATGTTGAGCGACTTACAACTATCTGTTAAGTCCAGCTCCTGTGGTCCAGCGCCCTCCTCTGGCCTCTGTGCACTCAAAAGCACTTAATATTTTAAGGATGTGCACTTTGCAAAGATAACATACATACACACAAATAAAATAAGGAAATAAATAAAAACAATTACATGAGCCTTAGTGTCCACTCAGCGAGTCACACTAAGGGACAGAAAAAGTAGGAAAGTAGAGAAGGTTGTGGTCAGGATGTATTATACGAGAGAAGAAGAAACAACTTAAGGACCAAAAAAGAAAAGTGACCTGACAGACTTTATTGCTATCCTATTTCACAGCTCACGGATTTCAAAACAGGTCACTGTACCCGGGTCCTAACAAGGAAAGGGAGACCACCTCCCTTTCGGCAGAGCGTGTACCTCAGTACCTAATGACCCCATCAAAAAGGAACACAGGAAACACAACCTAAAATATTAAGTAGTTATGGTCTTCAGGGCACAGGGGCAAGACATGCTTTTGGTTCCTATGAGAAAAAGGAGCAGGAGGGAGAGGAGGAAGGCAAGAAGGAGGAGGAGAAGTTTTGAGAAGCATTCTTGCAGATCTTTCTGCATCTTCCCATGGACATCTCAAGGTTGTTGTCTCCACTGTAAAGACAATACTGGGTGAGGGATTATGTAACTGACACATGACTCCTGTGCCGACACCGTCAGCCATGGTGCGTTTACACAAAGGTAAGATAAATGCCACAGCTGAGCTGACAGTGTCCACAGAAGGCTCATCACGGCCAATATCAACCCATCATGGTTACTGAGAGCTGAAAGTGACCATTCTCCATCCGTGCACACACAGTACAGCAATGAAGAGTCGGTGATCTCGGGCTTCTGGGAAGGTGGGCGCGTTTGACACCAGGCATCAGACAGGAGGATGTCAGAGCCAGTGCCAAGCAGGCTCCTGACCCTCTTCTCTGTCTGATGCAGACACTGCCTTCTACTCTGCAGATCTGCCATCTGAGCATGCAAACAGGGAGAGCCAAGTGTGCTCGCTTGAAAATCTCCAAGACGAAATCAAACCACTGCTCTAAAGAAGCCAGGCAGATGGGCAGACTGGCCTTTCCAGTCTGTCCCCAGGCCCCGGAGCTTAAGCACTCCCTCCTCAGTGGCTGCAGGGAAGACAGCTGCAAGGGTGCTGAGGTCAGAGTGCATGACAGCGTGGGGCAAAGGTGTCCCTGCAAAACATGACAGCGTGGGGCACAGGCGTCCCTGCAAAACACGACAGCGTGGGGCACAGGCGTCCCTCCAAAACACGACAGCGTGGGGCACAGGCGTCCCTCCAAAACACGACAGCGTGGGGCACAGGCGTCCCTCCAAAACACGACA